GGACACCCTGGACAGGTCACCAGTCTATCACAGGGCTACACTTAGAGACAGACAACCAAGCACACTCACATTCACACCTACGGACAATTTAGAATCATGCTATAATGTATTCATGACAAATAAAGGCTGCTACTGTGTCCGTCCTCGGCGCTTTTTATGTTTTCACTTCTCACATCTTCCTCTTTAGGTCGAGTATTTTCTCCAATCTCATGGGCTTATGGGATTCTTTCAAAGGTTGTTGGATGCTGCAGGTTTCTGAAACCTCGCCATTACAGGTTTCACCTGATAACAACACAATTAGGCCTGAAATGCCTTTGCCTAGTCTGCAAAACCCTGTAACTACTAGCTCTGTTCCATTATATCGTATTAAGACAGATCCTGAAACTTATAAAATGTACAGTCCCACGACCTATTCCTTCATTTTCCAAAGCCGCACTTTCACACCACTGCATTAAAAGGAGAATTTAATTTCTTTTTGTCCCTGGTAGTACTATGCTAGTCACAGTAATAATGATCTCACCTTCCATTTCTCGTTTACCACCTCGTTTTTGCTCTATATCCTCAAGCACCATTACGCTGCTATCTTTCCAAAAGAGAAAAAAAAGGAAAAGACAGACCTGCAAATGAGATTGGTGAATGTGCAAAACAGGAGCATGTTTAATGCTCCTAAGAGACTGCTTTCCCTAGCCCCATAATTAAGGGATTTAGAGCTCTGGAGACAGCTGGACTCACAAGAAACACTCCCAACATCCCCTTGTACTAAGCACCCTGGCCTTGAGTCCACATCTCTGGGGTTTTATAGTGGAAGAAGGTGGTGGTGTGTGTGTGTGTGTTCGCCTGTGTGTGTTGGGAGGTGGGGGGTTAGGTTATAATGACTGCAAAAAAGAAGCATCAAGGTCATCCTTGACTTTCACTTTTACTTTTGCTGACACTAATTCAGTGATAAGTATTTGATATCGCATTATTTTTTCATTGTGAGGCCAAATGCTCCAAAGCAATCTGAATTTTGAACTGTTTTACCAAACTAAAGGTGGTGCACGACATTTCAGTTCTCAAGTGTGGTCTAATCTCAGTCACTGGAGGATTGAACATATACTATATGTATACATTTGTGAACCCTGTTGGTGCGAAACCTGAAACGTGATCACCTTCTTAACTAATATCCCAAAGAGTTACAGCTGAAAACAAAACAATTAATCCTCCCCAGAAACATGTTTACAGCAAGAATTTAAATGTTACACTTTATTCTAACATGCAACGACACATTAGGCCTCTGATGGACTGGTGATCTGTATAGGGTGCACCCTCCTTTGACCTATTGCATGCTGGAAATGCAAAAAAAAAAAAATAACAAAAGAGGCAGACAGAGAGCTGTGGTTGGATTGATGGAAAAACAAGACACACTGCAACGAACTTTGCATTGTAGGCTTTAAAATGACCTGCTAACTTGACAGGCGAAAGATGACGTTAGTACCCCAGCAGCAACTAGTCCCAAAATTAAAATAAAAGCCAATTTAAATAACAATCAAGGAGAGAACATTAGTGCAATCATTTAGCTAGGGTTTTCAATTTTAGACAGCTCATGATTACCTTGTATTGCTGCTTTTTCTTGTTTACTGCATATTAGCTTTTATGCATGACTTGTGTTTGAGTCACCAACTATCCTATGTGGATGCATGCCATTTAGTCACAAAAGAACATTGGTTTTGAATGCTCTACTGCAGACATTTGCTTTTAATAAAGCTTTCAAGCATTAATTCCCATCAGCATTTGTATGGACGGTGATTCATTTGTTGCTGTTTTTTTTAAATAACCAAAATACTGAGATTGGACTTTTCTCAAGCAGGTGTGGCAAATACAGCACATCCACACATATTCTGGACACATAGTT